TAGGACATAATTTTTAAACTCAGTGTGAGAGGCATATTACCGTATTCTGACAAGTTATTTCATGTTTCGATCAACAATTCAAGCGGTTCCAAAAGATTGGAAGCTAGCATATACTTTGCTAAAACCCTGACCAATTATTTTCCTCACTTCTTGAGAATGTGTGTTAAAAATGGACTCCCTGCGCAATTTTCCTTTTCCCCTCTAATTCTTGCTTGAAACAGTACGAAAAAGTATCCCTATTGATTTCACTGCGATGTCTATTATTGAAGCTTTTCTGACATTTCCTTCATACGTCGAATTTTCTTCGCTTTGTTCCGATTTTTTAGAATGGACAGAACTGTTTTAGCAAAATTATAGACCGGTATAAGTCTTACGTCAGTTGTATGTAAGCTAATGAACATTTGTAACTAGCGTATATGAGACAAGTATGGGAACAAAAAGAGACATGGCTATTTCAGGGACAGCATGGTTTTAGGAAATGGTTTTCTCTCGAAGTCAGATTAGTATCATTCTTTCAGGATATTAGCAGATTAAGTTGGAGAAATGGAGGGGATGCCATAATAGATTTCGCGAAGGCAATTTGATTGTTGTCCCACACGATAAACTAGTTCATTAAATTAATGCATTCGTGTATTGACACTAGGTTGTGACGTGGGTGGATTAGAGTTCTTCAGATAGGAAACAGAAAGTCGAGTTGGACAACAATTTTCAACCCTGCAAAGGTTACTTCAGGGATCCCCTCAAGGAAGCGTTATTGGAAAACCACTCCTGTTTCTCGCGTTTGTGGAAACACCGCCAGGACAATTTATGTTCCCAAGGTAAGACTATTGCAGATGATTGTATAATATATCGAGTTATTCAATCAAAAGTAGACGAGGATATTTTGCAAGGATGATCTAATAGATTACATTTCTGCGGCAGAAAAAACAATAGCCATGACAGTAAAAATTAGCTCAAAAAGCAAAAACCATCACGTTTTGTAGGCGCGGCAAATATAGTGAAAGTCAATACCGTTTAGGCACGAAAAAGAATTCAAGCAGTTCCTGGCTTTGTAAGTACCTGGGAATAATATTTGATAGCAAGATTAAAACTTGCGAAAACCAGGTTCACAAACCTGAGGTCTTTTGCATTTTACCATGCGAATACTAAAAAAAGAGTGTACTGCGAAAGCGAAAAATTAGCTTACCTATCTTTAGTTCGTCCATTAATGGAATACGGGCAATTTGTTGGGACCCTTATTAGAAATTCACAAAAGGAATATTTGAATAGAGTTCAGAGAAGAGCGTTGTAAACACTGACTTCCCAGCCCATAGGAAGGAAAGTGGAATGGGAGTCTCTAGAATCAGGAGGGCTAAGGCAAGACTCTGTGCCATGTACAAAGCGTATGCCCGGTTATTCCAGCTTTGGAAAGATATTTTCATTCGACTCGATATGACCCATTACTTTAGTAGAGTGGATCACAAGCACAAAATTCAGTTCAGAACACAGATGTTTGGAAAATTTTCATTCAAAATAGAACAATAACGGACTGGAATAAGTTACCTGCGGAGCCATGGAACCCTTTCCTCTAGGTGTACAAAGTTTCAAAAAGTAAGATTAACTAAGGACATTGTATAAGTTTAGGCTTATTAAAATATTTATTATTTTAGTTAATTTTTTACAATTGTTATTTTTTAAATATTAGTATTGTGATAACACTATTATATACATTGGTTTGTTAAAATATACAATTATATTTAAAGTAGTAGTTGAATTGGAAGTGTCTGAAGTGTTGTGAAGTGTAGTACAATAGAGAAGTCAAGTGCAAGTGTAGTGTAGTGAAAATGCCAGTGTAAGTGAATGATTGAAGTGAGTGAAGTGAGATGAAGTAGTGTATTTATTATTTAAAAAATTCCGTGCATGGCAGTCATAAAGTGTATAAGTAATGCTGCTAAGTTTTTATTGTTATTATTGCCTTAAAATACTTTAAAATTAAGTGGTATTACTATTCTTAGCTTGTAAATATGTAGTGTTCTTGCACCAGGCCATCTATACCTACTTGCCAGAAATAATAAATTCTATCTATCTATCTATACAGGTGCTAGTGCCACCCCAGGCGGCACATGGGAAGTAGGGATCTCTCGTCCCATTCTCCTTCCTCTTGATCCTGAACACCTCCTTACGCCCTGAATCGTAAACACAGAAGTTCCTCCCACTTTCGAATGGAAAGTCATCGTGATTCATCATTCTCTATATAGGTTACGGTAGGGTGAGTGGTTACTTCCACCTGGATGCCGGCAATCTTAATAGTTTTTTGAGGTTTTTTTAGATTTTTCATCGCGGCGCGGCTTCTTAAGAGAATGGTACCATTCCTCTGACGCCACAACCGCGGAGTTTACCGAAACCCGTCCTCAATGGCTCGTGCAAGACGAACCGCACTTAGTACTTTTAAATGCTTTTCCTTCTTCCGTGCACGCCATCAAAAGGAAACGTGGCTTCTGGGTTTATCTTCTTCCCTAAGGAAACTCTACTCACTCCATCGTTCTCCAAAGCATGCCTCTTCTTCCGGAAGAGGCAGAGGGTTTGTTTTATGCTCCATAGAATTGAAGCGGATTCGCCTCCGTGCTCCCCACCCAGTAATTGGAGTCAAACAAGGGGACACCCCACTGGGGTGCCAGTGTTGACACGAAGGATAGGGAGATGTGACAGCGCTGCCCCCCCGTGGATTCCCCCGCTCACCTTGGGGTTCAGTACAAGACCTAGTCCCGAGCCGATTGATGGGAAGTGGGTTAGCTCCCGACTGCCAGCCTAGAAGAGTCCGAGGCCAAAGCTAGTGTGTTGAAAACACCACAAGGAATGTTCCCAAAGTAAAACCGTCCCCAGCTGCAAAAGCAGGAAGTAGCGCACGGAATGGTTGCGAAACAACAGGTCCTTCAACTGTAAGGACACACCTTCCCTCCGACTCGGGTCGACATGCACGCCAAACACATGGGTAGGCGTTCTGCATACAGGGGGGAGGCAGTGAAATAGGTAGATAGAAGAAAAGAGACAGGATTTAATAAAAGGACGAGAATGAACGATGGGGAAGATCAAGATGATTGTGATAGAGAGGACTACTGAGAGCCCTCCCTGCATCCGCCTCAGACGTGGACCGACCCACCTCGACACACAGAGAGGGAACGAGAGAAACACACAGAGAGGAGGGAGGACAACACAAGAGGGGAGGGACGGGGACAACAGAGAGGGAAGGAGGAGACACAAAGAGGGAGGGAGGAGACACAGAGGAGGGAGGGACGGAGACACACAAGAGGGAAGGGAGGAACACCAGCACGAGAGGGAGGGAGGGAGACACACACACAGAGGGAGGGAGGAACACACACAAGAGGGAGGGAGGGAAACAGAGAGAGGAGGAGGGAGACCACACACACAGAGGAGGGAGGGAGACACCACACAAGAGAGGGAAGACACACAGAGGGAGGGAGGGAGACACAGAGAGGGAAGGAGAGAACACACAGAGAGAGGGAGGAGGGAGGGAGACACACACACAGAGGGAGGGAGGGAAAACACACACAGAGGGGGCAGGAGACACACAGAGGAGGGAGGAGGGAGACACACACAGAGGGAGGGAGGAGACACACACACAGAGGAGGGAGGAGACACACAAGAGGGAGGGAGGAGACACACACAAGAGGGAGGGAGGAGACACACAGAGGCGAGGAGGAGGAGACACAGAGAGGGAGGGAGGGAAGACACACAAAAGGAAACACAGAGGGAGGGAGGGAGACACACACACAGAGGAGGGAGGGAAGACAACACAGAGGAGGGAGGAGGACACAAAGAGGAGGGAGGGAGGGAAGGGAGAGACACACGAGGAGTGGAGGGAGGGAGGGAGACACACACACAGAGGGAGGGAGGGAACACACACACAGAGAGGGAGGAGGGAGACACACAAGAGAGAGAGGAGGGAGACACACACACAGAGGGAGGGAGGGAGACACCCACCCACAGAGGGAGGAGGGAGAACACACACACGAGGAGGGAGGAGACACAGAGCAGGGGAGGGAGAGACACCACAGAGCACGGAGGGAGGGAGGGAGACACACACAACAGAGGAGGGAGGGAGAACACACACAGAGAGGGAGGGAGGGAGACACACAGAGGGAGGAGGGAGGGCGGAGACACACACAGAGGGGGGACGGAGGGACACACACACAGAGGGAGGGACGAGACCACAGAGACGGAGGGAGGAGACACAGAGAGGGAGGAGGGAGGAAGAGGGGACAAGAGGAGGAGCACACAGAGAGGGAGGGAGGGAGACACACAGAGGGAGGGAGCGAGGGGAGACACAGAGAGGGAGGGAGGAGACACACACAGAGGGAGGGAGGGAGAACCACAGAGGACAGGGGACGAGACACAGAAGGGAGGGAGGGAGACACGAGCAGGAAGGAGAGAGGACACACAGAGAGGGAGGGAGGAGACACACACACAGAGGAGAGGGAACAACACAGAGAGGAGGGACGGAGACACACAGAGAGGGAGGGACGGGAGACACACAGAGAGGGAGGGACGGAGACACACACAGAGAGGGAGGGACGGACACACACAGAGAGGAGGGACGAGACACACAGAGAGGGAGGACGGAGACACACAGAGAGGAGGACGGAGACAACAGAGAGGAGGGGACGGAGACACACACGAGAGGGACGGAGACACAGAGAGGGAGACGGAACACACAGAGAGGGAGGGACGAGACCACACAGAGAGGAGGGAGACAAGAGTTTTGCTTGTTCACTATATGAAGAACATATTATCCACTTTTTTTGTTACCAGGGCCCAAACATAATATTACCTGTCGAAAATTTCCAATTTCTCCTACGCATTTTCTCTTCCTTATTCTTCTTATGAAGCATGAAAAAGTAAATATGGCAATTTCCGACAGAGATATATGGTATTACTTGTGTAAGATAGAAATTGTCTATTATAATATTACATATTCATAAATCTGAAAATTTCCAGTTCACCTCCTATGATCAGGATGAGATCTCACTCCATTCCCTGCCAAGTGCCATCCATTGCACTGGTAACTGATGATTCTGCAAGATACTTTGTGTAAAGGGGTAGAAAATTGTGTGTGCGATTGCCCTGCTTTGGCTCCTGCACACATGTCAATTTGTTTCTCTACATGGTCATCGTCGGATGGTCATTGCTGCTGCCGCCATTTAGCTCTTGCAGAAGGAAGAAGCAGGACTTTCGAAAGGAACGATGTGGAGAATTCTGGCACAAAATAAAAACAAATCGTAACAAAAAAGTTCCATTATATTACAAATAAAAATTACAAATGTCATTATATTTATTTCATATCAAAACAATAACAGTTTCTGAAATGTGCAGCATACCCAGGAACAATCAAATTAAAAAAAATATTCTAAGAATTTTTCAGAAGTCTAATGAAAATGGATCGATAAAAAAATGAAAACAAAGTTTAATTTAAAGAAGTGTCAACCAAACTCATGAAAATCTTGGACAAGTTCTTGTAGAAAATTTTGAATGAAGGAACACTTTGGAATATGCATGGGTTTAAAAACAGGATCACAATGTAATGACGTCATTTCGAGTACGTGTACTGAAGAAGAAATGTATCAAAACAGCTCTCTGTGTTGGAAAAAATCAGCACTTCTTATCAATACCCGATTGTCGTCGACAACAGTGGCATCTTCAATGCAACGGCAGGTACACTCAACTTAATGGATTATGGATAATGTGTAATCTGTGAGGAATGTGACCTTAACATATGTATTAACATTAATTCAATTACAAAACCTCAGTTCTGGGTATACAAAATGGACACCCTGAAAAAAAATTGCTTCCAACTCTTAAACTACTCAAGGCTATTGAGAATTAAGACAACTCTCAATAAATGACCATGTTTCCTCACTCCCAATGAATCTCTTCATACTGCCCCTTTTCAAATTCGAATCGACAACTCATGCTTTTAGACAGAGATATAAGATCAAATCAGGACCTCATTTCGTATAGAGTCAATTCAAGAGGGCAAAAACAATACCGGCGTCTTCCTCATTATATTTGCAACACAAATTCCCTTAGCCTGGCAAAATGGGCCTCTTAAGAATTATTCCATAGAAACTGTATTGTATTTCTATTCTCCGATTTAAAACAGCAAGTTCCTTTCAAGGTCACGCGTTGTAGGGAGCAGCCAGCGCCGGACACGAGCGCCGGCCACCGAGACGCCGGCCACCGGAAGCGCCGGGCACACCGAAGCGGCCGGCGCACACCGAGCGCCGGCCACCGAGCGCCGGCCACCGAGCGCCCGCCACCGAGCCGCCGGCCACCGAGCGGCCGGCCACCGAGCCGGCCCACGAGCGCCGGCCACCGAAGCGCCGGCCAACCGAGCGCCGGCCACCGGGAGCGCCGGGCCACCGAGCGCCGGCCACCGAGCGCCGGCCACCGAGCGCCGGACACGAGCGCCGGCACACCGACCGCGGACACCAGCGCCGGACCGCGATCACGCGGACCGGGCGGCGACACCGAGCCGCCCAGGCCGGCCACGCCGACACGCGGGCCGCACACCGAGCGCGACCGGCCACACCGAGCGCCGGCCACGAGCGCCGGCCACGGAGGCCCGGCCACCGAGCGCCGGCCAGGCCGGCCGACGCCGGCCACCGAAGCGCCGGCCACCGAGCGCCCGGCCACGACGCGCCCGGGCGCACCCGAGCGCCGGCCACCGAGCGCCGGCCACCGAAGCGCGGCCCCGGCGGCCCACGACGCCGCGCGAGCCGAGCGCGCCGGCCATCACCCCGGGCCCGTCTACCGAGCGCGGCCACCGGGCCGCCGGCCCCCGGGCGCCGGCCACCGGCGAACAGCACGGGCCGCCGGCCACCGAGGCGCGGCCACCGAGGCGCCGGCCACCGACACCGGGCGCCGGCCACCGGGCGCCGGCCACCGGGCGCCGGCCACCGGGCGCCGCCGTCGAATCGTGACTGTCGTAACGACTTACATTTTTAGTATTGAAGTTTCTGAAGTGTCTCTTTTCAGCACGTAACCTCGAAAGGACTTCATGTTTTATTCGCAGGACGAAGTTCGTATATATGCACGTTACCAAGATTCAAAGCGCTATTGGAAGACGCGGGAGGTTATTAGCAGAGGCGTATTAAGCTAATGCGACCTGCGCGCGGCATCGGGGTCCCCAATTAGGACAGTCACCGCCCTTTCCCAAGAAAAGTGGCAATGGTAATGATAATGATGTGTCCCACGTGATCTTTCGGCACCGGGGTCCCAGAGAACGACTCGTCATTAGCGGCATTTGTGAACAGCGAGTGCACTGCAATTCTATTGGGCGGCTAGCCAGCTAAGGTTCTGACTGCTTAAAATCGGGTACGATCACTGGACTGTTCGCTATTTCTATAAATAACAAATTTTCAATTTTCTTAGTCTTTATCTGAAAAATGTAGATTTTTCTACAGATTTCCTTATAGTGAGTCGAAGCTCTTATAGAAGAGGAATCATTAAGAAACTGTTGTGCAGAAAGGAATCGATTTGCAGTAAAATGGCGTTAGAAATATTTGTTCATCTGATTCAGGATACTAGATTTTTTATAATTAAATGACTCATTCTATATTTAATTGTTTCGGCAAACTGCCCACCCCACCCAGTAATCTACCCTCCAGTAACTTTAGAGTGTATGGCACAAGCCGGAGTAAACGCAGTAACTACAAGGGTTGTAGAGTGGGACAGTAATGCACCTATCCAGGCGGTCTGGAGGGGGACACATTTTTATGCGGTACAAATGAAATAGAAAATTATCTGAATTATTTCTTGATTTACACATACCGGCATATTTTTTGTTAAGCAACGTTCCCGATTTTTTTGAGGAATATTATTGGACTAACAATTAAATAATATCCCGAAACGTTATACACTTTTTACCAATCAAATTATTCTGAAATGCCACATTATAAGCTTGGGTAAATCCCTTCAATCGAACACATTCGTTTAACACGTGCTTGTTTCTACTTTACACAGATCGTCATAATTTTGAAGACTACGATGCTTATTCTTTCAAAATGTTTTAAAAATGTCCAGAAAAAACAAGAACGAGTGATATAAAAATGGATTGATGACAATTTAAGACTTAGCAAGGATAGCGACTGAAACTTTGAAATGGAAAAACGACGCCCGAAAAAGAATGATCCCTACCAAAAAGAACGATGCCCAGGTACCTGGAGAATTTCACAATGTAAAGAGGAGAGATTAAAATTTAAGGACGAAACCATCAGTATTAAGAAAAACGACAGAAATTGTGAAATAATTGACCGAAAATTTGAACGACTGATGGATTTTACATGTAAAACTGATGGAAGTTAACTTTTTTACATGTAAAAGTCTTTTAAATGACGATGCAAAAAACCTCCAAGAAAATGTACACTTTGGATTATCTTATTTCTCAAATGTGGTCATTAGGGGGCGGATTTTGATGACCTAAAACATTGCCAAAAACCATCAATAAAATGCTGTCAAAATGCCAAAGAAAAATGACGGAAAAAATTGATCAAAACAGCTTCAGATCAACAACTCACGTTGTTGGATATGTTACTGCTGTAATCGAGGTTTTTTCAGTTTGTTCAAGTGAACTCAGCTCGCAAACTTTGGGTTTGGACTCTTCTTTAAAAGAAAATCTTTGCCTTTATTTATCGCGAAAGCGGCCGAACTGAGAATGGCGCCGATCAACTTCACAGGAACCTTAGATTACATAGTACTCACTTCGGCCGACATTATATGTGAACCAAGAAATCGAATAGGCTAGTGAGGGATTCTGTGGTGAACATTTGTTGCACCTCGTAAATACTGTTTGAAGTAAGTACCATTGAAATATTAAAATCGATGAATTCAGAGGCAAATTCAGTGAAAATTACATAAAAAGGTAAAAAATGACTTATCAGTCGAAATCAACGAAAAATGCGAACAAAAAAGACATAAAATGAGTAATTTTGTTTCGTCATCACAAAACTAAATTCTGTACAAAACGGCATTGTTCTGAAGTGAAAAAAAATTCATTAAAATCTGCCCCTAGTGATCAACTACCTATCACGAAATAAATGATGCTGTTTTCAAAATAAATGCTTTCAAATCTAACAAAGAATCTTTCTCAAAATCAATTAGAAATTTATAATCCAGGACAGAGTTGTGAGGTTTTTCAAAATCTTTAAAGTGGAAATACAAATATTGCTGATCATTATGCATAGCTTATCATGAGAGGTCTTTTAGAAAATTAGCACTATATCTGATTCTCTCAAACCGAAAAGAAACTTAAAGAAATAGAAAACCACATTTTCCATGAAATAAACTGACAAGTTTACGTCGGAAAAAGGAATAAAACTGTTTGTTGGTTTGCTGTATATGTTGTATTTGTTGGTTTAAATCTTACTTGTTGTCCAGATTTGAAAGTTACGAGTATTAAATGAAAACCAACCCATCTACTTTGCAATTCTATACAGTGTGCAATTGCACACATTTTTGTTTGTTATTTGTTCTAATTTTTAATTTAGTAGTATGCACTGAAAATGTGATTCAAGCACTATGCACACGATGTCCAGGTCGGGGGAGAGGAGAGGGGGTGGGAAAGACTGTCTGGCGCGCCGTTTCTTTGTGTACATAAGAGGGTAAAGGAAGAGAGCACTGGAGGAACTGGATATGCCTTCATTGCCGGGCTAAAACCACTAGACCGATTCACTCATCGCGGAGACAGACAGCTTGGAAAATCAGGTTTCGAAACACGGTCGTAATGTAGTTCAAGACCTAGTGGTTGTGAAACTTACCCTTGATAGGCAGTGTAGTCCTGATGGATAGTCATAAGAAACATAGTACAACGAAAGGAGAAGAAAAGCGACCCGAAGGCTTCTGGGTATGGTTTTTACGGTCAGACGCCACTAGCTGCCGAATTCGTTCCTACCTGTTTCCTCCATCTGCTTAACAATCTTGTCGCAGGTCTCTTCCGATTGGCCGCATCCTCTTCCTTGCACTCGTTGATCGGTTATCGACCTCTGAGGATTAACGTTACTCCTTGGGGATTCGTCATCCTCCGACTCGATGTCCACAATTTCGATATTTTTAGTGGCCGTTCTTCCAATTGCCTGGGACTCTACGGGTTGCACGACATGTCTTTGGTTTTCAGGAGGCGTGGAAGAGCCACCCGTTCTCCCTTCCAGTACTTCGCCGCACGACCTCACAGAAAGTGGTTCCCTGGTGATCGTAACGTGAGCCGGTTGCCAACAAATAGTTCTCGCGTCGTTCTCCGAAAATCTAGGATTCGTTGCTTCCGTTATCTCCCCCCTCGTTATTTGTTTTCCAGCAAATTCTGTTTCAATATGCGACACTGTACTCCTTCCTCCCAAATTGACTGGTGGTGTTAAGCTGAAGCTACGGTCTCCCACAGTTTCTCGCAATATTTCCACTTCTTTTTCCTGCACTTTCTTGGATATTGCCCCTTCTCTGATCACAGTATCCCTACAATTTACTACAGGACGGTTGGACGATAGTTTCGGGACACTCTTTCGCTTATGCATCTCAAGTTCATCGGGAAAATTCCTTCCTCTGGTCGGTGCCTCCGGTGATCTCACATTCCGTTTATGGTTCTCCAGAATATTTTGGGCGACATCATGAACCTCCTTGTTCTGGGCCACGGCACCGCTGCTTACTTGAGGCCCTATATTATGAATGTTAGTTTTCGCTGAGGTATTTCCACTAGGCTTCTTCGGCTCCAAGCAAATTGGCATTTCGCTTTCAGATATTAGATGTTTTGACAATGGGTCACTCTTTGCAAAGTTCTTCAGTAGCGTTGAAGCACTAGTTTGCGCTGGATCTCTAACCTCAACGTTGCTCCTGGCTAATGCTTTACTGACCGATCTTTCAGAGGCGGATGAATTTTTTTGTCTTTGACTAGTTTCTCCGCAACCACCTCTAGCTCCCTCTAAAACACGCTCGGAAACGGGTACTCCAGTTATAACTATATCTGCTACAGGCCGTTGCTTCTGTTTGTCTCGTGGTTTCGGAATGTCGCCGATCGCTTTTATTTCTACATCCAGTCTACTCATGCCCAACGTTTCTTTGATCCGCGCCTTATCCGACAGTTCTGGACATTTTCTCTTCTCATTATCTCCTACCTCAAAGGGACTTGTTCTGGCAGTTATCGGGGTCCTGCCTAAGGCTCTCACTATCGTAGGTGAATCATCTGTCAAACCACGAGTCACTGTAGTTGACTCTGGGAGATTAGTGTAGGATGTAACAGGATTACTTGTCTTGTCCATCTCCGTTATCCCAAACATTGGTTTGTTTTTGTCAGCCTCAATCAGTGACGAAAAATTATTTTCTTTGTGATTCCTCACTTCCGAGGACTTAGACGTACAGTTATCTGTAGGTTCCCCTTCCAAAAACTGTGTTTGCCTTTGTTCTTCGAGGGTCGAAGAATCGCCAACCTTCTCGTCGACGTTCTTCGCCAGTTGGAATCTGCGTTCAAGAGTTGCCCGCAACTTTGACATTACTTGTCTATCTTCCGCTGCTTTAGTCGACGCCACACGTTTGTTTCTACAATGCATATTTAAATGCTTTAGATGATTTATTTTCCACGCGAACCGCTTGCGACAAATCTTGCATTGAAATGGTTTTTCACCAGAGTGGCATTTAACATGTACCTGCAACTCAGATGAATCGCAGAAGTTTTTTCCGCACACGCGACAACGAAAGGGTAGTTGCTCTATATGGTTTTGAACGTGATCAGTTAAGGCTTTCGGAGAAGTCAGAGCTTGTCCACACATGTGACACAGAAAATGAATTGTCATTTTCTCATCATGTGTTTTAGCGTGACTTTTAATCACTGTTTCTTTAGCGAACATTCGGCCACATAATCCGCATTGAAATGATATACCACCGGTATGTATACTCATGTGTTTAACCAAATTTTTAGGATCATATTTTTCACTACACACTTTGCATTGTTCCAAACTTTGTTCTGTCCACCGCACCTCCGTCATGGGTATTTGATTTCCGTCCCGTGTGTTTTCATCTTTCTTAGCACATCCTTCAGCCATTCCTATACGCTCTGTGGTTTCTGGTCTTTTTCTGCCTGCACTGGTCTTTGGCAAGTTACCCAGAGGAATTGTCTCGTGTATCTGTAAATGGTTCAATCTTGTAGTTTCACAGGTAAACGTCAAAGGACAGAACCTGCACTTGAGCGGTGATTCAGGATTCGTGACAGGAGCATGACTGTGCTTGAGCAAAGCCCGTTGCGTGTCAAACGTCAGTTCGCAATGGTCGCATTCAAAGTGTTTGTTGACCTCGGATACATCTACGTCTGCTATTTCTGGCTGAATAGTCTTTCTTGGTAAAACTACTGAGTCTTCCTTCTCTCCGGATGTTACCATATCCTCGGATGGTTTTCGATACGCAGAGGAATTTGAGGCAATGCACACGTCTCTGCTCGATGTAGCCGTAGGCTGTGCAGTATCTGCGAAAAGAGGTCATGCATTTGTTAAGGCCTGGTCTGGCCGCCTAGCAAAACTATGCGACCAGCATTGCCAAGCACCCTTTTTTATTTCGCGCAAGTTTTCGTTAACTTGAGAAAATGTACAATTTGCAGCGACTTAGCCATGCTTTCTATAAAAGTAATTGTTTAATTGCCATGCCATAAGTTTAATTGCCATGCCCAAGGAAAAAATGACAGGGTAGACGAGTTCTGCTTTAACTGAAGGCTTCAATAGATAATAATAATAATAATAATAATAATAATAATAATAATAATAATAATAATAATAATAATAATATCAATAATACTCGTGCTAACTAAAATAGATGAGGAGCAATTGATCAAAACCCATATTGTCCACTGTTGCGAAAAATTAGTTTGATAAAAAAATCTGGTACATTTAATACTTTCTGCCCGTTCCTGCTTTCAGATTTTTTCAACTCATTTAATTTGATGTGTTAAAATGAGTTTTGAACAAATATGAAAGAAGGATTGTGTAGAACGTATTAAAAACCATACAATTTTATATCAAACTATTTCTTTTTTTCACCTGTGGACATTACGCATATCGATTAGTTGCTCATCAAATGTGCAAAGGCGCTTTTCAATCTTATCAAGTTTCAATGTTTATCTTCTCCGGAAAAAGGGGCATTATTTTCCATATTTCATGAATATTTGTGTGCGCCAATTCTTTTCAAGCTCCTGTGTTCTGGCACACAAGTTTCTTTGACCTACTACACCGAAATATTGAGAATACAAATTTGTATTGATTATATTTGAGTTCAGAAAAGTAGGAGTTTAGCTTCCCTATATTAGAGGCAATGGATTCGTGGGAAAGCCTGCCTGTCAGACAGAAAGCCTTACTACTACAAAAGAAACAAGCATGAATAGATCTCTATTATTATAATATTTGCAGCACAATGTAGCATCAAGCAATTTTACACATAAAATTTCACACATAAAATGAACATCCAGAACTTAAGGCCATCCAATATGAATGCTTTAATTCTTCAAGCATATATTTCTTCCCAACTTTGATATAGTTCAATTTTAAGGAAAGCGGAGTCATTGTAACATTAATGTTAAGTGAATAAACCCTTCTTATCTCATCCCCCTCCCATTCATGTCACCGTCCAACAATGAAATTCTGGGAATAACTTCTCAAACTGCCACATACCTGCATTGCATGGCAACACCGCTTGAAAGATTATGTTACGTAATTCCTCATAAATAACCAACTATTTCGAATAAATTAAATAACTACAATAAAATTATAGAACATTTTTTCAAATTACATTTAAATGATAGTTTTAAGAGAGAATACTTAAATGTGATAATTTCAATAAAGGCTTGCAGATTGGTTGACAATACATCAATACAGTGAGAAAACAATTTGTAGAATAGAATAAAAATCAAATTAATATTAGGATTTTCAATAGTAAATTATAATTCAAATAACATTATTTTCCATATCCTTAGTTCCATTCTTGTTTTCCGATAATTTTTCTTGTGGCATATGGTAGGTGAGGCTACTGTATATTTCATTAATTTCCAGCAGAAATTATGCGAAAGTTAGCTTGGATGGTGGTGGTGTTGTTTTCAAAAAATTGCGTAAAACATTTTTTAAAGAGCTTGTATTTCAGAAAAGATTTTGTTTAAAGCAAAAATCTCCATTTTCAATTTTATAATTTTTAAATGTTAAAATTTTGCAATATTTTTAAATGTTAAAAATTTTAAGTGTTGTGTTCATCGGTTCATTCTCTAAATATTCACCTGTAAATAATTCATTTGGAATATTAGTAAATTTATAATAGTGTATGTGATTTTAGGTTATGCTTTTCCTCTTTGTTACGTTCAGAAGTTGAAAGCGGTAAAGCTCGAATGTAAGCAACGCTTCAAATTTACATTATTATAGTAGTTGTGGAGTTGCTTTAAGAGGCGTTTTGTATCAATTTAACTTATCAATTGACTGGGGTAGACTGGTAGCAATGACTGTGAAGGGAAATCTGCAATATTGGCAATTGCAGATCTAAAGTGAAAAAACTCTAATATGATGGACTGATACAGTTAGGATACAGATAGGAACAAACAGTTTTAAAGCACAAAAGACAAGCAGAAGCAAACAGACAGATACAACGGACCAATGAACAAATAAACACACAGATATCTCTTGACAGAATAACCAACAGGCAGTTAGGAGGTCAGAAACCTTATTCATGCATTATTAATAATGTGGATGCATAGGCTGGGGAATAGGTAAAAATCTGATAGTGTCAAAAGCAGAGTGGCAACCATTGTAATTTATAAATGTCAAACAAAATGTTTATAGAACATTACCATCTCAAGTTTGAAAAAGTTCATTAAGCCATTTTCAGAGTTGCAGACATCTTCAACATGGTCAAAAGTCATTTTGCACATGCTATCGAGTTGTAATTTATAAGCAAAAAGTCTGTCCAAGAGTCACACAGAAACAAATTCACACAAACAAATAAACAAAACAAACTGGAACATAAACAAGCTAACAAACATGCAAGCAATTTTAATTTTAATTTAAGACTGGAGAGAACCACTAGATAATTTATTTTTAGGAACTTGTGTTGTACATGTCATTGAAAAAAATGGCAAGAGTAATTCTGTTTTTTTTAGAGGTTAATTGAATTTCCAAATGTGTAAGTTTATTATTATGTAAAACTTATCAGGGTAGCACATTGACACAAGAGTTAACCAACTTTGCCGTACATTTTACTGAGGAAATTCCGAACATACTATGTACCAAAATGACAATTACTATATATTAATTGCACTCCATGCATGGGTCTTTAACAAGATGGTGAACATGATACAAAAACTAGAATATTGGTAACAAGATGGTGAAGCAAATAATACAAAATGAAATAACTAGAGCCCGGAAGTTTGACAAAATGCCTTTTTGTTACTGTTACTATTTTATGTCTTAATAATAGGAATCACTTAATTATACACATGAGTTTGTTTTAGTAGATTCTCATTTTTCCTTCTTTTTGTATTAGTTCTGTCTTTTCCTGACTTTTCTCTCATTATTACTGGATTTTCATTTGGCCTTTTTTGCCTATATTTGCTTCTGATTCTTATTTTTGCCATTTTGACTTGTTTTTCCTTCTTCTGCCCTTTTCCTTATGATTTAACTTTCCCCCCCCCCCCCCTTCAGACACCAATCGCGATCAAGATGGACATATACCAGCAGGCCTGAACAACACAAACGCATGACCATGTTTTGTCTTTCTGTGGATGCAGAGGCTGTTATAAAAATCTAAATGAAAAAGAAATATGATACCAGTCGAGATTTTGTTCCCTAACAAGGAATTGCAAATCAACTCTTGGCCAACTATCCCTCTTGAAATCTCCCTGTATATGATCTATATGATCACCCTTCTCAGTGCTGGTTTACACAAGTGCAAGGAAGGGGGGGGGGAGAGAGAGAGAGAGAGAGAGTGTGTAAAAATAGGGGGGGGGGTCCATTTTCACTGATAGCATATCAAGATCCAAAAAGGAGTTCACAACAGCATTTCTAAGAGATAGCATATCAAGTAAAACAAATTCGTAGCCATCACACCACATGGTCATGCCATCACTCTCCACACTTGTCATCAACATTAAAAAAGAAAAGATTGTTTTCTTACACATTAAGTGCTAATGTAAATTTTAGTTCAAGAATAAATGTTAATAATTTTAATTATTAATTTATTACAATATTTCCTTTTAAATACCATTTTTCATTGTTTTCATGCTTTTTTGCTCTCCTACTTTAGCTAAAATAAATGTCTTTTTGCATGCCTATTTTAGGTAACATATAGGCCTGAACTTCCGGGCTCTAGAAATAACACACATAATGAAAAGTTTTTCAAAATCATACTGTGAAATAATAGAAATGAAAAAGATTTACCACAGATTCCCAATATTTAACGTACATACCTGTTAAGCTTTCTATTGGAGTCTTATCTGGTGACACAAAATTTGTAAGAGTATTTTCATTGTTACATTTTTCTTTTACACCACTCACTATCATTGAATGTAAATCTTCTCCACACTTGTCAAATCTCTGCTTGTCTGAGGAGACACTTTCATTTATATTCTCTGGGCTAGGAGACCTTGAATCAATGATAATCACCTCGGGTTCCTGAAGTTAATAAAATATGAATTAAATATCCAGACATTTATATTAACAATACATTTTTGCAATATTAGATCAAGCTACAATCATTCTTTAGTCTCAAAGTAAGATTGGTCAAGTAATTTTGAGGATTAATGAAGATAATAACAGACATATTTCCCTTATGACAATATCACAATTAAAATCATTGTTAATTGCTTTAATTTCCCCAGGAACACAATAGACATGTGAATGAAAGATCTATTGCCCAATTAATAAGAACTTATGAAAATTATTTTCAAATTAATGTCAATATTTTTTAAGTATTTCCAATTTTTGTAGAAATTATGCAAGACATGTAATGCTTTTGTAGCCTCTTAGGGTAAAAAATTTGTTTTTCAGGAAAGGGTATTTTAAAGACATCAAGTTTCATTGTCCTCTGTTGAATGAATTTTGCTGCCATTGTTTAAGAACGATATTGTAATTGAAGAAATCAAGTTTCAAAATATATGTTCAGTGTGATACAAGGATTCAGTCTCCATTGAAAACAATTGTTCAAGGAAATGAAGTGTATTCTACTTATGTCCTACATTTCACTTTCAAAATCTATATTAATACTAATACTACTATGTATATATTTGGAAAATTTGGGTAGGTAAATTATTATACATTTACTGATCATACACATGTATGTTAAAAGATTCACAGTACGCATCTTGTCTGTCACAGTAAGTTTTAAGAGAAGATACATATTATTACATATAATTTTTACAAAATACTTACTTGCTTTTGTAACAAATGCAAGTAAGTATCTTGTTACCATTATTACTTTGTACTTTTAATTTACTTTGTATCACTTTTAAATTGTTTCAATTTTCTTTACATTTATTACCTGCAATGATTGTAACGGAGGCCTTGCTATGTCACCATCACAGTTTGATAAATCTGAATGCTGTAGCATATGTCTATTCAACCTTCCTTTAGAACTGTAATTTTTATGACAAATATTACATTCAAATTGTTGTGAACAACTTTGGTTCATTAGATGTCTTAGTAGTTTTGGCTGCCCAGAAAACACTTTTCCACATAACTCACAAGCCAGGGTCTTGTTTTTAGCATCTGCACCTTTTGTACTATTTCCTTGATATGATTTGACTTCTGGTTGGATCGTTTCAGCTCTTCTGTCAAAAGACTGACTCGTACTGGCATTGGATCCCACTGTTTCTTGAGCTTGTGAAGGAAGACGCTCTCTTTTTGAATCTTGATCCAGTCTAACAGGATTTCCTTGCATGATACTCTGATTGGTATCTACCAGAACCACACCTCTATGAACTTTAGAATCATTTTTGTCGAGCAATTTTCCCTCATCTACTCTATCAGAGCTAGAAACCTTTCTATGATCACTGAAATGAGTCACCAAAAATGATTCATCAGTCTCACAGTCATTAGTAGATATTTTGCTGGATCGAGTGGGTTCTTTGGGACATGTTAACGATTTATCTATCTGAGTATGTACTTTTCCTTGCTGTTTTTCAGCATTTATGTTATCAGCTTCTTTGTCAAATTTTTTATTAGAAATGTGTGTATGTGATATCATGTGAATTTTTAGAGTCTCTCTTCTGGTGAAAATTTTAAGACAGATTGTGCAGCTAAACATTTCCTCTTTTGAATGAGATTGCATGTGAATAAAAAAGTTAATTCGGGAAGAGATTATTTGATTACAGACCTTGCAATGAAACTTTTTTCTATTTATATTTTGATGTTTTTTCATCACTTTGGAGACTGAAACCATCTGTCTGTGGAAAGAACTCCCTTTCTTACTTTGCTTCAAATTACCACCAGATGTAGTTCCTATCAATTTGAGATTTTCTGAGCTTGTATCTTCTACACATCTCTTCTGTGGATGTTCACTCTGCCCCTTCTCATCTATCAGGTTGTTTCTTTCAATGTGTGTTTTAGTGTGAATTTGCCAACTTTCCTTCCAAGTAAATTTCTTCTTGCACACTTCACATTCAAAGGGTTTTTCTCCTGTATGTGTGCGCATATGACTTAAAAGATGCTTTGATGAGGTCAATTTCTTATCACAAATGTTACATGTATTCCCCTTACCCTCATGTCTGAGAACATGGCAGAGCAAAGCTGCTTTAGAGCTTAAATGTGTGCCACACATTGAACATTCATAGTTTTCCAAATTTTGTTTCTTAGTAATATTGTCATTTTCAATTTCTTTTTTTGGAGATTTTTTTAATGTTTCTTCTGTTGTTACTTTGTCTTTTAATGAATCTTGTTTCATCTTCTTATGAAATTTTAAATGATTCAGGTAACCACTCTTAAATCGGAATGTTCTGGAACAGAATCTACATTGGAATGGTTTAATTCCGGAATGAATACGAAGATGTTCTTTCAAGTAACTGCTGTTGAGCATCTTCTTGCAAACAGGGCATTGCCTTTGACTTTTTCTTCTCTCTGCCTGTGACTTCTTTACAACTTGGATATCATGTTCCTCAATATTAACCAGTTTTTGCGCACATCTGAGTTCGTGTTTGAGTAAATGATCTTTCCTAGAAAACCTTTTCTCACAGACTGAACACTTGAATAGTTTTTCACCAGTATGTTGCAACATGTGCTGTGGGAGATTATTCACTTTTTTCCCACAAATACTGCATAGTGTATTGCTTCCTCCCATGTGCATTTGCATGTGTGCGAGCATTGCTGCCTTGGAATTAGTTTGCTTTGAACACATTATACACTGATATTGCTCTTTAGTAACTTGACTTGAGCTACTGGCTGCTAAGCCATTAGTTTCCACTAGATTGTTCTTCGTCATCAGTTGCTGAGGAATCTCTGTTTTAGTTCCTGTCATTTCATCCTGAACTTTTTGTACCATTGATTTTTCTGGGACTTTTTTTGTTGTCAAATCTCTCTCATCCAAACTCCCTGATGTGTTTTTCTTGTTGCCATATTTTTTTCCTGGTGGCATATTTTGCTTTCTTTGTTTCAAATTAGTATTTTTGTAATGCAATTTGCAATGTAATTGCAAGTAGTCTTTCCTAGAAAACTTTTTTCCGCATACAACACAAGAAAATGGTTTTATACCCGTGTGTTTAAGCATATGCCTTTTCAAACTTCCTAATACAGTGAATCTCTTTGAACATACATGACACTGCATTGTACACAATGATTCATTACATACCACCTGTTCTGAATCCAAACTAGGTTCGGAACGGGCATATTTATTCTCATTTGCTTTTGCACCAGACATACTGCTTGGCTCTTGCTGCATCCGTGTTCGGTCTTGAGTCTTCTTTTCCGCAGATTGAAGTTCAGATTCTTTCATGTGAATGCATAAATGCGCTTTTAAGTTGCGTTCCCAGATGAAGCTCTTTTCACACAGCGAGCAACGGAATGGCTTCAACACAGAGTGAGAGTTAACATGACGATCCAAATGCCACCGGCTGGAGAACTTTCGCCCGCATAGATTGCACTGATGATGCCCACTAGCAGTATGTCTTCGTAGATGATCTAGTATCAGCCGTTTAGATCCTTGATTGTTACCGTCACTTATTAGAGATGTTTGATGAGGAATGCCAGCGTCCATTTTCTCAGTCTGCGGAATAAAACTCTTAACAACTTCCGTGTCTGGGCAGGTCTTTACCATTGATATCTTGGTTCCCGTTTGCATTGATACCACTGGGTTGTTTTTCGCCGGGGACTGCTTGCCTCTGTGTGCCTTCCGTTTGTGTCTCAGCAAACTACTTTCCCACCCGAACGTCACCCCACATTGGGTACACTCGTACGGTTTTTCTCCCGAATGGGAGTTCATGTGCTGCTTCAGATAGCTTTCACTAGAGAATTTTCGCCCGCACACGTGGCATGCCTGGAGGCGAAGCCGAGCGCCTTGCGAAGTCGAATCATCGTTGCTGCTTCTTTTTGTAGAGAGAGGTGGTTGCTCTTCGATATCGTTACGTTCTTTCTGAGTGTAGGTGGGGATTTGTGAAGATTTTGATATTTCCGAAGATGTTGCCACTGACGTTTTCTCTTCTACTGATGATTTCGCACTCGCTGACGCAGGAGTAGTGGTAGTTGTCATCTTTGTCCCGTCGTCCTCGACTGGCTCGAGCCTTGCCGTAGACGAATGGGTTCCCGTCGTCGTTTTCTGTTTCTTGGATTTTTTGTGCTTTTTATGAACATTGTTCACGTGCCTTCTCAAGTTACTACACCAAGAAAACGCTGTCCCACAAACCGTACATACGAAGGGTTTCTCTCCCATGTGAACATTTACGTGCTGTTCTAGCATCTTCCGAGAGGTAAAACTTCGTTCGCAAAACGGGCACGAAGTATTAGGGAAAGTAGAAGAATTCCTTCGTGATGATGCTTCCCCAGTATCAGTAATCTTGTTACATGCTGTTTTGGCTGCTTCACCTGCAAACAAAAGGCATCACTTCACTTATCTGATCAGAAAGTCCAAAAATTTATGATCTAGTAAAAAAAATCCCAGTTTTGAAATTTGGCATGATTGTTTGATGTTACGTACGGCAAATCATCCAAGAAATTATGAAATAAGGGGAGTGCGGCGGGGGATGTGGGGAATCGTTAAGGGTGCTTTTTCTGTTTTTGGATATATGTTCGAAACTATCAATCCCGCTAAAAATGATGTTCTATACGAAATGAAAGCAGACAAAATTTCATTAAAAAGTTCTCCCATAAGGTTTTGTTATAAAATTAACCCTTTTAAAGTTAAAGACTTGAAAATTTCTTGTTTTTATTAGCGAAGTCCTATTTCAATTATCGTTCTTATAATAATTATGTTTAATGTGGTCAATGCACAGAAGTAATTTTATTTTTGTTCAACATTTCTGAACAATCTCCATTTGCATATTTTGTGCAAAAAAAGCAATATTTTTACTAGGGGCGGCTCGTGGCTTAAGTTAGGAGAAGAGCTACTAGGGGAATTTAAATTTAGACACGCTTATTTTAATAATCTCACTCGCTCCGCTTAATAAATAGAGAAAATTAATTGTTACCGAGGGAGCTTCACTTTTCATCACATTCTAGAAATAAAGTCCCGAAAGGGGGATACGGATTCCGATTCTGATGTTTTAAAAGCAAGTACGAGGAATCGTCTCAAACATTCCATTTCCTTTTTTTATGGACAGAACAAATTTTCACACGCGCTTTGCTTCATACCTATAAACTAATACTACCTTGTATTTTTTCCAGTTCTGTTTCTGTGCCATCCACGCTTTGCCCCCGGCCGCTTTGTGTCGACTGGCTTCTGGTGATTCGACCCGAGCTCTGGCTCATATCGTCCTCATCGAAAGGCGGCGGCGCCACCGCCTCAGCCATGGAGTCTCCATTGTTTTCTTGGCGCTGCACTACCTCTGCATCCTGTGGGCAGAAACTAAAATATTGAGACGACTTTCAGACGCTTTGTACAATTTCTTCCTTTTAGGGGTTTTGGGAAATACTCCCGTAATCTTAAATTTCTGCGCGATAGAATGGCGGTCACCATTAACATTTTGCTTCAACCCTCACTTTACATATTCTAATGTATTTTCAAATTACTCCAGTTTTGCTATCAAACGGTATTTAAGAGTAAAGTTGCATAGACTTAAAAACATTAAATCTATTTTATGTTAAAAGTGTATTTTTAATTAATGGTTTAGAGCTCCTAGGCCTCATCTGAATAATTGAAATCAAGCCAACTCGTATCGGTGATCATTTGGTATGAAATTTAAATTTATCGAAAATTTGGGGTGAAATATCAGAATCACAACAAAAGTAATGAATATAATTGTCTGCGAATCCACAGTAATATGATGTTTACTTTATCACCTTACGAATTCTTCGTAAGAAGAGAAAATTATGTAATTGCGCGTTAGAAAACTGCGAATTTTGGCGAGAAAAACTCCGGGCTATAGTACCAAAAGTGGATAAATCCTGTCGCTAAATTTAGAGAAAAATATCCTCCAACACGTGGAGTAGTCAGAATCCATGTTTTGTTGTTTCTTGATACTAAAAAAATCGATTGACGGCCGAACGTCAGTCTGTCCGTCTATGGTCAACGCTAGTGCCTAAACTGTTCAGCATAGTTTCTTCAAAATTGATATTCCCCAATCGATTTTAATGAACTCATGGCTTTGGGGGTTGGCATATTTTGATTTTTGAATGTACTTCACACGACGTCTCAATAACATTTTCAAAATTTTCGCAAAAACCGCCCAATATTTTTTGATTTGATTTGTCTTTGAGTAGCATAGACAACGCTTAAGGGAATGGTGATGTTGGTGGTGGTCTCGTTGAAATCACTGATTTTTGAAAATTGAAGTGCATTTTTTGTGACATTTTCTTACAACTACAATATTGAAGATAGAGACTGTTTCCCCTTAACGAAATGTGTCCCTTAAAGACGGATCTTTAATTAAGTTTACGTTGAATTTTTCGAAGATATTAATATTCATGTAATTTTACGCGAAATACAGGCACTTAATTTTCTTTTCTCAAAAACAGCACCCAATTGTTTTTGGAAATTTGTTGCTCAGATGTAATAAGAGACGGTAAAAAATATGGGGCTAGTCTCATTATCAGATATTGCTTCGTTTTTTTCGAAATTGCCAAAAAGTGAACATTTGAAAACAAGAAAATTGGCGACAACGATTTTTGCTTTAAACAAAGTCTGTTGTAAAAATACCTGCTCTTTAAAAAGGTCATGTACATTTTTTTTAAAAAAAAACAAACATAGATTTTGCTGAATTCATGTCTAGAATTTATGCTATTTCTAAAAACTATTGTTTCAATACCCGAACCAATTTTTTTTTTCATTCGTTTCTCCTCGAATGTAACAACGTATGGTAAATAAGTAAATAAATAAACTAGCGGTGCTGTAGAATGTCACAGACTTTCTTGCGCTAGTTAGTTTTCGAATCTCTTTGGTCTCGACTAGCTTCTGGAATGCCTTATTCTCTACCCAGCGGCCCTCTTTTGCCGCCGAAAGGACATTCTGTCACATTTTCTCTTTTTTTTCTACTGCCTAATGCTAGAGCTGAAACAACCACGCCCTCATGACTATTACAAAAGGGCCAATTCCCTGAGTTACCCGGGTGACCGAAGAGGTTGTATATCGGGGACGGACTCAAAGAGTGTTTCTGAGGGAATGGGGCGCTGGTTCGAGCCTGGCTCAGGGATAATTATATGTCTCAAATCTCTCTTGCCACACGAAACTATTGAGAACACCAGAAACTTTATTGAAAATCATTTGAAGCAATTCTACAATCAATTAAGACAAATAAACCTTAAGTATATGTGATTTGTGCATTTTGAACTTTTAAACAAGTTTCCAACCCTCTTGTTCCATTTGTAAACCGTATGTCGCATCAAATCAATTGTTGTGCATCTGTATGAACCAATTTGAGTAAAATAATCAATCACCGTGAAATTTAAATGCAATATATACTCTACCCATTGAACCGACTTATATATCCTTAACGGCTGACCGGGAGGTGGCTCAGGGCATCAACTGTCATTGTAGTGCCAGTGACCTGGAGGGACTAGGTTCGAGTCAAGACGGTGGCAGTATTTTCGACACTAGCCGGATCGCTAGGTCGATTCCTGACGATATGTGGAAAGGAATTACACCGACCCGCTGCTTTTATCGGTAGTTTCCCGTGGTTTCCCTGATCAGCACCAGGCGAATGCCGAAGCATTACCGTCCCAAACGGACCGCGTGCGATCTTTCTTTCCCATTCGTTGTCGTACACGCACCACACTGACACATGCCAGGAGACAGGAAGCATAGAGCTTGTCCCGGTTGGGGGGATACCTCCTCTGGTGGGAGGTACCAGGTCGGCGCCGGAAGATCGCCGCTACCTCCTGAGCAACAACATACACTACACTTGCGGGACTACGGGGTTGACGCGCCCGGAAACACTGGACTATCAATCAACCTAACAGTTGTCAGTCCGCCTGTGAACAACTGTAGAAATCGTTCAGCTGTAGATCCAAAATTGATATTCCCTGTTCGAGCTAAACGGACTGGAGGCTTCGGGAGTTTGTAACGGATATTTTGATTGTTGAGGGTGTTTTTTCATGAATCACGATTTACCTTCGCCAGAGTTCGATTCATACGGCTCTTGTGTGTCATAGTGGTATGAGAGCCGGCAACCTAACTCTGGAAATCTGAGATCGGGTCTCTGGACGGATAAAAGTTTTGCTGGATGAAACACTTTTGCTTGTTTATGTAGTAGTATAATAGATCGGAGCCTTTAAAAACAATACGAGAAAGTATATGCTTTGAAATTGTTTGGCGATTTTAGGGAAATTTTTCTCTCGAGTATGGGAGTAACCAGCAACAAATTATTGGAAGTAGAGGGGGGGGCGATTAGATAAGTAATTGTGATGTAATTCACATCATGAGGATAAGAAAATACCATGAAACGAAGAAATATACCATATTTCCGAAACGCAATGGTCGCCAGGGTCTCCGAGGTTGCAGAGAATGGAAAAGTTTCTCCGCTGAGAGTGGCTAAAGAATGTTTGGGGGCTTTTGGGATGATTTTTTCTTTTGTCCCCTCCACAGTACAGTGTGAAGGGGGATTTATTATCTATATGTTTTTTTATATTTTGCTGCTGCCTTGCGGCTTAAGCGGGCTTTTTCTTACAACTAACTTACAATCTAGACCTAAAGTTATCTTATTTGCACTTTGGCATTACTACCCACACAAAAGAGAGAGGGATTCCGGCGAAACGTCAGTCTGTCCGTCTATGGTCAACGCCTAGTGCCTAAACTGTTCAGCATAGTTTCTTCAAAATTGATATTCCCCAATCGATTTAATGAACTTCATGGCTTTGGGGTTGGCATATTTTGATTTTTGAATGTACTTCACACGACGTCTCAATAACATTTTCAAAAATTTTCGCAAAAACCGCCCAATATTTTTTGATTTGATTGTCTTTGAGTAAAGCATAGACAAACGCTTAAGGGGAATGGTGATGTTTGGTGGTGGTCTCGTTGAAATCACTGATTTTTGAAAATTGAAGTGCATTTTTTGTGACATTTTCTTACAACTACAATATTGAAGATAGAGACTGTTTCCCCTTAACGAAAATGTGTCCTTAAAGACGGATCTTTAATTAAGTTTACGTTGAATTTTTCGAAGATATTAATATTCATGTAATTTTACGCGAAATACAGGCACTTAATTTTCTTTCTCAAAAAACAGCACCAATTGTTTTTGGAAATTTGTTGCTCAGATGTAATAAGAGACGGTAAAAAAATATGGGGCTTGTCTATTATCAGATTTGCTTCGTTTTTTTCGAAATTGCCAAAAAGTGAACATTTGAAAACAAAAAAATTGGCGACAACGATTTTTGCTTTAAACAAAGTCTGTTGTAAAAATACCTGCTCTTTAAAAAGGTCATGTACATTTTTTTTAAAAAAAAACAAACATAGATTTTGCTGAATTCATGTCTAGAATTTATGCTATTTCTAAAAAACTATTGTTTTCAATACCCGAACATTTTTTTTTTCATTCGTTTTCTCCTCGAATGTAACAACGTATGGTAAATAAGTAAATAAATAAACTAGCGGTGCTGTAGAATGTCACAGACTTTCTTGCGCTAGTTAGTTTTCGAATCTCTTTGGTCTCGACTAGCTTCTGGAATGCCTTATTCTCTACCCAGCGGCCTCTTTTGCCGCCGAAAGGACATTCTGTCACATTTTCTCTTGTTTTTCTAGCTAATGCTAGAGCTGAAAACAACCACGCTCATGACTATTACAAAAGGGCCAATTCCTGAGTTACCCGGGTGACCGAAGAGGTTGTATATCGGGGACGGACTCAAAGAGTGTTTCTGAGGGAATGGGGCGCTGGTTCGAGCCTGGCTCAGGGATAATTATATGTCTCAAATCTCTCTTGCCACACGAAACTATTGAGAACACCAGAAACTTTATTGAAAATCATTTGAAGCAATTCTACAATAATTAAGACAAATAAACCTTAAGTATATGTGATTTGTGCATTTTGAACTTTTAAACAAGTTTCCAACCCTCTTGTTCCATTTGTAAACCGTATGTCGCATCAAATCAATTGTTGTGCATCTGTATGAACCAATTTGAGTAAAATAATCAATCACCGTGAAATTTAAATGCAATATATACTCTACCCATTGAACCGACTTATATATCCTTAACGCTGACGCGGAGGTGGCTCAGGGCATCAACTGTCATTGTAGTGCCAGTGACCTGGAGGGACTAGGTTCGAGTCAAGACGGTGGCAGTATTTTCCCGACACTAGCCGGATCGCTAGGTCGATTCCTGACGATATGTGGAAAGGAATTATACCGACCCGCTGCTTTTATCGGTAGTTTCCCGTGGTTCTCCTGATCAGCACCAG